CCGTCCATACTTGATTCATGTCTGTTTAATTTATAGAACCCTAATTATGAAAATTATGATTAATTTTGTTTTAAACAATTCAAATTATCCAATTTTTATGAACCCTAAGTGGAGATCTCCAATTTTCGTGAACCCTAAAATTTAAATTTGGGGGTAACATCCCCAATCTACTTCTGCTCGCTGATAGAACCGTGGAGGAAGCTATGAATTCTTATTCTTCTTCTTCTTCATTTTTCCCTTTTGTTTTGGTTTAAGTTTCAATAACAAGTCCAGAACCGATTCAATAACAAGTCCAGAACCGATCCAAACAGTTACTTTTGATAAAGTAAGTTCGGAACCTCCACAAGATATTGATAATGAACCACATACTCAAGATGATTTTGTTATTCGTCAAGAACAAACTCAAGATCCTCAAGAACCTGTGCATCATGAGCTGGAGATACTCTAGTTGCTAAGGGAGACAAGTTTAGTCTCAATCAGTGGCCAAAGGGGAATTTGAAAATTAAGGAAATGCAGAAGATTCCCTATGTATCATCGGTAGGGAGTTTGATGTATGCCCAAATATGTACGCATCCAAACATAACATACATAGTTGGGGTTCTAGGCAGATATTTAAGCAATCCAGGAATGGACCATTGGAAAGTAGCAAAAAGGGTCATAAGATATTTAAAGAGAACAAAATATTATATGCTCACATACAGGAGGTCAGACCAGTTGGAGATCGCTGGGTTTTCTAACTCAGACTTTGCAGGATGTCAAGATAGTTTGAAATCCACTTCATGTTATATTTTCATGTTGGCAGGTGGTGCAGTTTCTTGACGCAGTGTCAAACAAACCCTTACAGCCTCATCCACTATGACAACATAATTTGTAGCATGCTATGAGACATCAAATCATGGAATATGACTGAAAAAATTTTCACAAGACTGCAAATTGTGAGAGACATTGAAAGACCACTTAAGTTATATTATGATAACAAATCAGCTGGATTGTTAAGGAAAGAGTACATAGTGGACAGATTTCCATAGAACACTTAAGGACAAACTCCATGATAGCAGATCCTCTAACTAAAGGACTTCCGCCCAAGGTCTTTCATGAGCATGTTGCTTACATGGGTGTTTTACAGGTTAAGGAATTTGTGGTTTAGTGGAAGTTAGTCATTTTCATATATTTTATGTTCTATGTTTAATTTAATGTATATATACATTGATTTTTTGGACATATTTGGTTATCTATAGATATGTAGTTTTTCGTTCATTCATTATACTTTGTACATTAAGGTTATTATATCGATCTCAATAAATTAAAGTTTGGACCAGTTAAAAATAGACGTTACAGATCACCTTCACGTAATTTTCATGCTACACATTTCATGATGAATCCATGTCATTTGGTTATGTCAGGATTAGTAATCATTATTGATTTTAGTTGCGATGATGCAATGAAAAACTGGTTTGGTTCTATATCCTAATATGATCAATGAACGAGACTTTTGGAATATGTTAAAGGAATATAATGACAATTTTGAACTCATAAAGTCTAACATATTTGTAACGTTATAAGGACATATATATTTGTGACCAGTGGGAGATTGTTGACAAATTTTGGGTCATGTATATATATGATACATAATTTAAATGTGTTAGGGTCATTATTTATTAAACCAAATAATAAAATGATCTGATTAAATTAAAGTTTTGGCTAAAAACATATGTCATGAAAATAAAATTGTGTAGAGACCATAGAACAATTTCTAATTTGATGAGGGACCAAATTGGAAATACTAAAATTTAAGTAATTAACCTAATTCTGGTTATTTAAAGGGTCATGGTCCCCTTCTGGGGGAACACACACAGAACGTAAGTCTCAGTTCCGTTCCTTTCTTTCTATCCCCATCAAGAGAGAAAATCCAGAGGGAAATACAGGTGTTCTTCAGGTGGAAGACTATAAGATCAATAATACTATACAATAATATCATCATTATAGCTAATTTAGGTACGTTTTAGCATTCAGTTTACAACATATTTATAAGTATGAGATAATGTTTATGTTTGATAGTTAGAATCAAAATCAAGACTATAATTATTATTAATTTTTCAACACCTACATAGGAAGATCAGCGCAGCATCCATGCATGCGTATGTGAGGACAACATGCTAATTAGCTGTAGAAGGGGAGGGGAAGAGTCTTTGGAATATGAAGATACCTCCAAAAATAAAGAAATTTCTTTCGAGTTGTGATGTGCACTTTCAGCAAATAAACAAGGAAAACTAATGACATGCATTAGCTGGTTGTTCTTTTACTGAATCATGTATGGAGAAAATTGCTTATGGTCAACAATGGAAACTTTCATTTTTCAAAGTGAGAGAACTAGACAACTATGCTTTGTTATTTTATCAAATGGTTTCTCCACATATTGCAGCTGATTTGTCAATGATAATGTGGGCTCTTTGGTAAAAAAGAAATGGAGTAGTATAGGAAGGAGCTTCAATAGTAGTTGAACGAGTGGTGAGAACTGCTTCTGGCCACCGGCACGAATGTAACCAAATCAAATACGTAAGTTTTCAGGAAGATTGGTAGACAACAATATTCCTACTTAGGCATGAACATGGATGCCCCCACCACCAGTAAGTTTAAATGTAATGTTGATGCTTCATTTGATGCCGAATCAAGAAGTTTGGGATGAAGGTGTTGTGTATGAGATAAGCATGATTACTGTGTTAGTTGTTACAACAAAACAGATTTTTCCAACAGTCAAAGAGGGAGAAGCAATGACTCTATCGCAAGCATTGAAGTTTCTCAAGAACAAAGGTTTCCAAGATGTTATTGTAGATACTAATTGTCAAACAGTATCTTATAGTTTTCAAGGAAAGAGTTTTGATTAAACATAATTTGGTTAAATACAAACAACTTCTTGAGGAGTTAAGAAACGTGTCTGTATGTTTTGTTAAGAGACAAACGAATTTTGTTTTCTATACATTAACTAGGGAGCTAATTCATATGCTAGTCCCACTATTTTGGATGTTTTATCCCTATATATATTGCTGAATACATTCATCTTGATATAAAATAAGTTATTTTTTATTAAATAAAAGTCGAGCTTTATGCCTTATAATTTGTTGGGTTAAGTATGTTTTTAGTCCTTATACTTTTATGTAAAATTGAAAATAGTCTCTCTGTCATAGTTCACATAAAAATGATCCCTATACTTTTGAAATGATTGAAATAAGTTCTTATTTTAAACGGCTTTAAGTATATGTTGATCTGTCTAACGAAATGATATGACTCATTCATTATTTGACATGTGTAATTATTTTAAAAAATAAAATTAAATAAAATTAAAAGATGTCAAACTTTTAAAAGTCATTTAAATCCGCATTTATAACATTTAAAAGTTATTTAAAAAGAAATGTAAACTTCTCTGCCATTTATAAGCCATTTAAATTTCTCTACCTTAATTTTTGGAAATGAAAACTCTAGTTATGGTATACCACCGTCGCACACTGCCGTTGTGCACCACTGTCGCACTGTCATTCGAACCACAACGAACCGATGGAACCCTCGAACTTCAAAGTCACTTTGACTTCATATAACCTTTACAGAGAAAGGGAAAGAAAGAAAAAATCTTTGGTGTGTGACGAGAAAAGAAGAGAGAACGAAAAGTAGTTGTGACAAGAAAAGAAAAAAGAACGAAAAGTGGTTGTGATGAGAACGGAAGAGCTTTGATGTGTGAGGAGAAAAAAAACTTCTACTTTTTAATTTTATTTTTAAAAAATAATAATCTCTGTTGAATAATTTCTATTTTTTTAAGAAGAGCTTTGTTTTTTTTTTTTAAATAATTACACGTGTTAAATAATGAAAGAGTCATACTATATCCGTTAGACATGTCACTAGATATTTAACGTCATTTAAAATAAGGATCTATTCCAATCATTTCAAAAGTATAAGAATCATTTTTGTGTGAACTTTTACAGAGAAATTATTTCCAATTTCACATAAAAGTACATGGACTAAAATCATACTTAACTTAATTTTTTTCATTAATTACTTACCACTTGTTGAACATAACTTTTGTTTAAGAATATATGTAAAAAGGGAAATACATACTGAAACAATGAATATGATATATATATATATATATATATATATATATATATATATATATATATTTTTAATAAAGTGAGTATACAGTAAGAATAATTAATGACACCAGATTTCATAAAAAGAATACCATGTAAATACAAAATTCAGGTATCAGTTTTTTTACTTTGTTTACAAACATGGATGCTTACCTCTCCATACCACCAATAGATACGTTTCTTTTTCAAACATCAATGGAGAGTGTATGGTTCAAATTCAAAAGTTAAGGGAACAAAGGAGAGCGGGGAGGGAGACAAAAAGCTAACATTATTTTTTGTTTAGATTGTACCCAAAAATAGAAAATAAAAACGAAACCAAAATATTTAATAAGCACGGAATATGCAATTTTGTCAATTATTTTATTATTCCCACCAACCATTTTTTTTCTCTATCGAAAGCTCCCTTATTTTAAAGGAGAGCCTGAATAGAGAAAGCATATTTAACGTCTTTGATCTCCTTTCTTCCCAAAAGTTTTTTAAACGAACATGAAAAGACTTAAAATCTAACCCATTCTCAGCACTTCATTCCTCAAAGTAAATCAAGACTCGTCTTGCAAATTGACTTGCACTTGTAACGTGGCAATTTTGATTTCCATCCATGGTGTCAATTCTTTACAATGATACAATTCATTCACAGAAGATAACATACATGTCTAATGGTACAACATGATGACAATGATCAAGAAAAGTCCATGATTCCGAACACTAAATCCTCGCTTTTGGGGTATTTGCGGGTAGCCTCATTACGTGATGTGCATAATTTGTTTGGCTCCAAAAACTACTCTACCGAGAATACCTGAAACTTGCAGAATAACCTGCAAGTTAATGTTTGGCATTCTAAAAAAGTGGATCGCCAGAAGATTATCCATCACTTGTCAATATGAAAGCCAGCATAACAATGATCAGTGCAAAGACAATGGTGGCACTACGAAACAACCCTGCATATTTATTTACAAATGAATTCTTGCTTTCTTCACTGCTTAACTCGATCTCTTTGAGAAGCGCCCTCACTTTGTCAATGTCCGAGTCTTTTGAAGCTTGGATTAGTCTGCTTTGAATCTGCTCAAGCTTAGTCAGACTTCTCTTACTTGACGTAGCTTCATGTGACCAAATAAAACCTGTCATCTTCCACAAGAGGATCCCCACATAAATGGCTACAATGCAGTCTACAGTGTAATGATGTCGCTCTCGTATTTCTCTTTGGGCACTATGCAGCACAAGAAACCATACAAGAGCAGAACTGAAACCTCCATACGCTTCCTGCAGTTATTATAATAAAAAGGAAAATTCGAAAGGTAAGCTCCTGCTAAAAAGTCAAATACAAACAATCACAAGATGATAGCACAACGCAGTCTTGGAATTAATGCAAATCTTACCGTCCAAGCCATGGCTGTAAGTACGGCAACAAGCATGTGGCCACTGTATAAGAGGTCATTGCAGCCACCTCCAGCTTTCTTTAACAGACTGTACCATGAAGGTCCTTCAGTGACAGTGGGTCGCAGAAAATCAATTAGAAAGCTCATTGAACCCCAATCTGGCTGGTAGTCGCGAACTGGTTTTCCAATGTCAACTAAGAAAGAAGAGTATGTTAATTTGGAAGCTCTTCTCAAGCAAAATCTCCCTAAAGATGGACACATTCATATAGACTAGACATATTATCCAGGTCTGAGATTAAACTTTAAAAACTACATTTACGAATGATACATGAAATAAGAAAATTTAAATTCATATAAGCACAACATGTCAACTTCACATTTCTGCACCAAAGAAACTCCAAGTGGCTGCAAATAACTCCAGGGTCCAAAACCTGATATTTTTCAGTTTCATTCAAAGTTGATATTTCTACTCAGTGAAGTTTATGAAAAGTTAATGAAGAGGATCTTGTAATCAGAATCACAAGTTTTATAAACTTGTAAACAGTATGGGCCATAACATAAGCACTCCCACGTTTAAATCAGTAAATGGAATGAGAACATAACTTTGGAACTTAAAAGAAGTTGCTGGAAACCAACAAAATAATATCCTACATACCGTAAGCTGTATCTAGCTTTATCAATCGGCTGATAGCATCATCATCTGTAGCATAGGGAACATAATACTTCTGGGCCCAAGGATGAGGGTACCCCGGAACTCTGAACCGAGATGCAGCACACCAAGGACGGGCTGATGGCAGAATTGTAGATGCAAAAGTTATGGCACGAAGAAGACGGCCAATTGCCATGGTAAACATGTACCTAGCACCTAATCCGAAGCCCGGGGCTTTTACAGAATCAAATAGCACAGAGAACGCCAGCATCATAAACAACATCAAGAAATGGTGCAGTCCAATTATACGAGCTCTTAATATCTCAACAATCGGACTAGGAAGTTTCTCATTTAATGCCAAGAGAAACCATTGACCCGTATCTGGAAGAGGAGGTGTATTCCTGTCAGAAATAAAAAGAAACGCATTTTCATTTTTCAAATAGAAATCACAACACCTGGTTGAAGTTAAGTTCATGTAAAATAACCAAGACACACTCTCTAACACAGCTGGCTTGTCTTTTATTGTGATTTATGTTAACGGGGAACTACTCAAATCTAATAGCCATTTGTTAATATTGTGATTTTCAAATGGAAATTACCAATGCCAGTGATCTTGTTTAAAAAGACTTGTGTTAAATGGTTGATACTTACTTTTTGCTACTGTATGATATCTGACGAGTGTTAGAAACAGATTTTATAACATATTCTTTCTAACATTTTCGATCTTATTGTTAAATTTTTATCGAAAATTAAAAAATCAAGAGATCGATCGATATTGAATAAGAATTCACTAATAAATTTGACATTATTACAAGACGTTGATACAATTTATCGTATTTTAGCCAAACAGATATTTCAGGAAGCATAAAAAATGCTGTAAAAACTTACTAAATATAGATCTGCGTCTAACACTTAAACCAGATCCGTCCAAAAATCTAATCAAGATCAATAAAGAATCCCGAGACAAGAAACAACGTTGATCTACGCATCACAATGAACATAAGAAGGAAAGATACCGGTGCCAGTCGAGGCCGAGGACGGCGGTGACGGAGCGAACGGAGAGGGCTTCGAAGAGTAGAGCGGCGAGCATGAAGAGCATGGAGGCGAGGAACGGAATAGCCGAACGGAACTCGGCGGACCAGTGACGGTAGGAGGGGACGCGGGCCACAGCTGCGAGGGCGAGGAGGGACCACAGCGCCGGTTGCAGCCAAGAGTGCCACGTCGGGGACAGGTGGCGGAGGTAGTCGATGGCGATGTAGGACATGGCGGCTATGGCCAGACCGGCGTTATTCGCCGGCCACCGCATGGCTGCGAGTGAGAGTGAGGAATTGGAGAGTGAGTGGAAACGAAGGAAGACTACCTGGTATGCGGCGGTCTTTCAGGGGAAGTTGGTATTTAAAAATATAAAAATTATTAAATGTTTTTATCATGTTATAATCAGATTTAAAAAAAAAAGTTATCGAATATTAATTAATATTTAAATTTAAAATCTAGGTGTATAATATGATAAATTATAAAGAAAGGAAAAATCAACTAGCAACTTCTAATATGAGATATATATACACTTCTGTGCTTTGATTTATTCACTGTTTTATGGTTATGAAAATAAGGGAGAGGATGGAGAAATTATGGATGAACTTGAGTCACTTTGTCCTTTATTTTTCGTTGGTAGGAATATAATGTTAAATTGTCCTTCAAAAGAGAAGGATTGCTAATTTGTAAGGTTTGAAAGAGTTAGATGAAAATCAACCCAAGTGAAAATAACATTAACCAAAACATGACAACTATCCGCTTCATAGTATATATTTGGACAGCCATGTTCTAAGCATTTTGCATGGATTTGTATTCAGCTTACAGTTATTTTTGTAAGAAAATATCGTTCTTTTAAATGTCTTTTTTAGTTTTTTTTATGCGTTTATTTAAATTTAATTAAATGTCTAATATATTAACAAAGTTATCTCTAATATTTAAAAAAGTGTACATTTACTGCAAAAGTATCACAAAAGGGAAATTGAGTTGTTTCTTAACAAACTTTTTGCACTTAAAATTTTCAAGTTCTATTAATTGTAAAGGATTATAAATATTGTTTTTAGTTATTTTTAACTTTTAATCAATGTTATTTTTATTTTTCTTTCACAGAAGACTCAATATTTATTTATGTAAAATAAGACTTAATATTCTTTTTATTTTCAATTTTTATATTCACACTCTCCAAGTATTCTTTCCACACTTCAAACTTTATATTAACAAATATTATAGTGCTCTCTTCAAAGTACTCTCACCAATTTGTTTATACAAACATGTTAACTAGTAGAAAATAATGTTAACTTGCGGATTATTTAGCATTGTAATTTTTTTTTTATGAATTCAAAATTGGAGAAGAAAATAAAAAAATAATTAAGTACATAAAAGATCAAGCTTTTCCATGAATTCAAAATAATTTATACACTTCAACTTGTAAAAAAACGAACGAGAGCTTAAAAATATTGGTGTGCATAACTTAATTTTTTTCTTATGTAAAAATATTCATTTTCCTTTCTTTTCCCATAAATGTTAATCAAGAATAATGAAAATAACTTAATTATTTGGTTAATACAATTTTACGTCAACATTTGGAGAATTTGGATACGTCCAGATAAACTTGTAGAATTATTTGTAAACTAAATGGTAAGATAATTCAATAAATAGAATCTAAGAAAATTATGAGGAGTCTTGGGTATAAGAAAAGTTTTTTATATTTGAGAGTCTCGAAAATTATGAGAATGACACTTCCTACAACTTAACAAATGACTAAAATCCTATGCAGACTTATTTTAATTTGAAAAAAGTTAAATTTTTAACTCCTATGAAAATAAATTTGTATATTAGCTAAAATAATTCCTAAAAAGTATTGTTTACTGGGAAGAGATACTTTTAAAATTGAACTAATCATAAGAAATATACGTACTCAACGTTATATATATATATATATATATATATATATATATATATATATATATATATATATATATATATATATATATTATATATATATATATATATATATATATATATATTTCCAAAGTAAACTATTTAGAAAAATTTATAGATAAATGAATTATTTTTGTATTCATTATCATTTTACTGCATGATATAACTTTTTTTTATTTAAAATTAAAACTAAAAATTATTTCCAATATATAAATATATCATATCTAAAATTCATAGAAAATATTTAAATATATAAATTATATTATAGATTTACGATGAACAAGTTAAATATATTGATATCATGTTATTTTAACTATTGATAAATTTCTTAAAAGAAACTACTAATGCTGTGAAAAATCTATTAAAAAGTTAGTTAGAGATAAAAATAAAAGATAGGTTAAAAGAAAAAGAAATTAAGAAAATCAAGCACATAAATAAAAAAAGTAATTCGAAGTAATTGCAGATAATTATTTTGCTCATTACAAAAATACCATGCAAGGAAAGGAATCTCTTCTAGTCAAATGCATACAAACATGGTATTTTTCAAATAAAATTACCCATAAAATTAGATTATGTATATATAATAAATCAATTATTCCCTTACATAGCATGAAAAATAATTTAAGCATCAAAGGGTTACAGCTTTTTTATTTAGAGTAGTTATATCAATTTGAGTATAAAAGATTTTGAGAGTCTCTGTTTATAAAACAAAGGGGATCCCTGTAGCCACCACCGTCCCCTCACCGCAAACCAAACTGAAGGTGACGAGTAACGAAACGATGACCATAAACGATAATCAACAGCAACAGGCTTAGAATTCTAAGAATGAAATAATCGATGGCATGGCAAATTATTGTACCCTAGTGCACTTAATTCTTGTCATTACCCTAATATTAGGATCAGAAATGAGAACATGTATACAACAGAAAATATTAATATCTTCTACCTTTTAATGGCCCAAAATAAATTACCTACATAAAAAAGAAAGCAACCTACACAATTCCTGGTTGATTTTATTAAATTTGGAAACATACAGAAGCAAACTACATGAATGACGTTATCCAGCTCTTTCTATCCCTCTTATCTATCACTAATGACAGAACCTATACCTGCGGTATCAAGTATGCATAGTACATGAATACTAACTGTTAGCACGCCCTCACAGTGGAGACTTTACAAAATGAATGGAATACTAAAACAAAACGCTATGCAGGCCTACAAAATGTAATTATAATGAATTAATGGAAAAAAAAAATAATGCACAAAACCTACACACCACCACAAGGAGCACAACAGAACCTTCCAATTTGGAGAAAAAACCACTGGAAAGGATTCAAGTGATCCTCCTCCATCGGAGGTGGAATTGGCAGCGGTAACTCATCGGGCAGATGTCGGTGGAATGCATCAACCGCAGCAGCAACACCATCTTCATTCTCAATCAACTTAGCAATTTCCAATGCTCGAGATTTCACCTGAACAATTATTATTCACTAACTATCAATATTATTAGCTAAATCACGATCCCATGATTTTGCTTGAATAGCATCACTATTCATGTTTATAAAGTACGCTGGAGGACACAAAAAAATGGGCCTGGATTTTTAATTTTTAAAATCCTTAGAGGATGGTAAAAGAGGGATGAATAGAATTTAATTTCACCTCTGGCTGGAGCATGAATCTTATGGCATTTGCTAAATTTTGAACGTTGAGCTGGGATATTGGGATTGGATTGGGCCCCAATTCTTTCTGGTATATTCTGTCTCCCCAAAAGAACTGGTCTCCAAAGAATGGAACTATGGTTGTTGGACACTGCAAGTATGGTATTTGTATTAAAACAAAAAATGAAGCAACAAACTGATTTTTTTTTTTTTTTTACTTTAAAACCACCACAGTTATGTTATGTCATTAAATTCTGAGAATGCAAATCCTTGGACTATGTAAAATAAAAATATCTAAGAAGATACTAATGACATTAATTACCCCAGCTTTCAATCCTGTAGCCGTCGTTCCAGCTCCACCATGATGCACCTGCAAATATGTGCCAAAATATCTTCCAGTTATATCTTGCCAAAATATTCTCCATCAACCCCTTTGCCCCCCTCCCCTCTTTCTCTTAGTTTTTCTCTTCGAAGATCTTTGCATAGCTAAAATTTGAATTGTGAAATTAAAGAATCAGAAAATTAAAAAAGGCTTTAACTAGCACAAGTAAACCACTGTGACAAACTCCAAAGCATTTTCTTGCTTTGCCAAATAAACCCACTAGAAAAGATAAATTCAAACTCACCACAGCAGAACATTGAGGAAACAGCCAATCGTGAGGGCATTCCTCCAGAAGGAAAATGTCGTCCGAAAGTACTGCCACTGCAGAATGGAACAAAAAATGCAAATGAAACTAATGTCAACTACAATGCATTGAACAAAATGTATAATTTTCTCGAAGCATCATATCACGAGAAAAAGTATCTATTCTTCAAAGTTAAGGCAATCGAAAAGCAGACAATTAAACAGAAACTTCTCACTGAGTCAAGTTATTAATGGACAAAAAATTGATTATATTAAAGGAAATTTTGAGGCATGACTTAGTCTTAGATACACTAGCCGACATAACATATATAAAGGGTAGACATTAAAGCATACGAAAAGAAACTGAAATATTCAATGTCTAGGTTACTTGCCAATTGGCAGTGTTATATACACTCTAGCGGTTAATTCTGCTCATCGTCCTTAAAATTATTCAACAATATTTTAGGAAGAAAGTTATAAAAATCTTTACAGTTTACCTCCTCGTTTATTCCTTGTTCAATTGAGAAGAAACACAAGGGCTGAGAGGATGAATTAATTTGTGTTGATCAGTGCGAAAGAGTAGAAACAGTTTTAAAATAGTGGACCAACAATATCATCTCTCACTATTTTCAATCATCTCTATCTCTTCTCATCTCTTTCTTATTTCTCTTTCACCAAACAGCTTTAATTTCTATTTTATTTTTTACTTATTTCTACTCATTACTTGTATTTCCATTCTCTTTATTTTTCTCTTCTTTAGCAAAGGGGACCTTAGCTCCTACAAAGCAAAATTATGTATATCAATCAGGACATGATCGAAAAACGCATAACTCTTCTTACAACTTAGAATAATTTTCATAATATTTCATATCACTTCAATTATTTTTATATACCCTTCTAAAGGTTGGAGACAGACCTCTTCAGTTTGTAGAATCACATGTTTTTATAAAAAAATTCATCTGAAGATAACACTTGATCTTCAAAGAAAAAAAGTGACAGCAGAATAAGAAAACCTATACAACTATATAATGGAAATTTCTCAGGCATATTCATGTACGCAAATTCATAAAAACTAATTATACCTAAGTTTAACAGAACACATCGCCATTAGGAAGGGGTTAGTGGGGAGGAGTTTGGACAAATTGCACGAGGTCATAACTTCGTAATAAGAACACATATTTCACTCATTCATTTGGCATTGACACACCAACAAATAACAGAACGTTAAACCAAAAATTATTATGACTTCCTCGACTGCAATAAGTATTTGAAAAAGAGGAACCAAACAGGTACAAAGCAAAATTGGAATAAAATACTTACAATTCCCTAGATTGCCCCAACCCCGGTCAATAATTCCTCGCTGTTCTGTATCTTTTAGTGCCTCCAATATAACATCAGTTGTTCCTTTCGGATCTTCAAGAGGCTGAAAAAGAAAAAAAAAAACGATTTTTAAGGATTTCAAAATTTTGTTTATAGTGTAAACTCAGAATGTCAAGTTCATGAGCTTATGAATATTGCTGAAAGTTATTGATGAAAATATGTCAATTGCACATATGAACTGGTCCTATGATAACTATAACGCCTATTATATAACATGTACAATCACAGTGTACCATAATCTATGGATGGTCAAGAAAACAATTTAAGGAAATTATCTTGACCAGAGTCACATCTGTGGAACAACTGATCCAGAAAGGTCATGACCATGATAAGTAGTGTCATATTTTCTGTACACATCAAATGAATTAATTCTATAAGCTGAAGGAAAAGCGTTCTTCAACAATAGAAAGAGGGAATTAAGATTTATGATTGATTTAGGTATTTATAATGATTAAAAACAGCAATTAAATGTTACGTACTGACCCCACAATCTTTTTTAACTAATAGTAAGAAACAAGAGGTTTTAACTAAAATATTTAATTGCTGTAAATATTTCATTAAAATTTTGGAATTATTAGGGACCATGGGTACAGCAGCCACCATTCAAAGCCTGCCAAGCCACTGTCATTCCCAATGGCGCTGCCATGGACGGCATTTAACAACATTGTTTGAGAATAACATTTAGTTATTAGGATCTTTGGATATTAGTAAATTGGAGAACTGGAGTAAAATTTTATTCAATTCTAGATACTAGATTACAACTTTTTTATCACAAGTTTGGGTAGCTTGTCTTGGTATTTGTTTCCCTGCAAGGCATATTGGCAAAGAAATTCAGAAGTCAGCCTCAATGGACTATGAATATTGAGAATTTTGAGAACCCTTTCTGATTCTGCCCAATGTGTGATTGATATCAAATTATCTAATATGCAATGTACAAAAATAGATTTTACCATTATCAGGCATCAAATTTGTCATGTCCTGGAAGGAAAAAGTAACCTATAAATCCTTGCATGAATCATCAAGTTTCACTTACTTGAAGTAAAGTTTTTATCCTATTAGTGTGTAATAAATACTAAAATTTGTAGTGGTATTAGAATTCATAAATGCAAACAGAAAAGTCAAGAGTAAATGAACAATTTAGTCCTTGAAATTGTTTCTACATGTCATCATATTAGTCCATGAAACTAAAAATAATTCAAATTGATCTTCCAAATTTTATCAGGTTTCATTAAGTCCCTAAAATTTTTGGTCCCTAGTCCAGGGACTTGTGATAATAATAACATATGATTAAGAACCAAAAACGGAAAAAGGAGTTAACTTTAGATTCTTAAATGAAGTTCGAAAGTAATCTAAAAGCTTATTTGAGTTTTCGTTAATTTCAGGGAATAGTGACAATTAGATACAAATAAATTGGCATTTTCATACTTAAAAAAAAAAAAAAGTTCATTATTATTGATAATTCATGAAAATAATGACTTCTCAATTCAAGTGAAATTACCATACCATGCTCCCGAACCCAAAATATAAAGGAGGTGGCCCTTTTTGAATCCATTGGACAAAATCTTCCTGAGGTTGATACTTTGATGCAAGGCTCAAGAAACAATAACCAACAACATCAACTAAAGGGCCCCAGTCTGCAAATTCGTAAAAAGTTATTAGTGCTACTAACAAATATGGGACTCAGCGAAATGTCTACCAAGCATGTATGGTGACTCTGCTAATTAGTTCCGCGAATCATTTCTTCAAAAAACTTAAGATGTTAAGTGGAGGCCCGTCAATGATTTTTTACCTTGACATTTACAAATAAAAATATTAATAACACAAAACATTGACCGTACTTTATAGTTTATACTTGATACATGTTAAGTCTCTTTAATGCTTAAACTTGGCTAAACATTTATTGGAATCTGATTTGAACCAAAGAAATTACAAATGTCTTCCTTTATAAATTCATATATATAATATAATATAATAAAACCCATTCAGTAATCAAATTTCAATAGATAACTTCATAATATTCATTCACAATCCAAGTCAACATTTACTATGTTCAGTTCTCTAGTAACAGCTATTTTTTTGCCACTTCGATGACTTAATATGGTTACTCATTTGAAAAAAGTATGACAAGGTGACAGATGATGTAACTAATGATGTAATTCATACCACTTGGTTTTGGAACAACATGAGGACTCCACATATAGCTTGTCGGTAAATGAGATATTGATCCACGGTACATACTGAAGTATGCAATAGGAGCAAGCTTCAATGTTGTTTTCCTGAAGTTATTGATAATTTTCCGCATTCCCCACCATATCAGAAGATCCACAATTATATAGGACAGCTGGAGATGGCAAGGAAATATTGAAACAGGTATGTTGGCGGTAAGGTAGTCCAGCAAAAATTTATAAAGTTATCATATTGTGTCAGCAAAGGACATACCCAATAACCAGCACTTTGAGGAACACGTACCAAAGGGTGGGGGAACTCATATGTTGGCCTGCATGTTGAAAAGTTATTTAAGTGACCTCAAATATTTGAAGAAAGCACAGGGAAGGGATGCTAAAAGAATGTCATATTTATCTGAATATTTGAAAATACAGTTGTTACTGGCTTTAATTAAAACAATTTTGTACTATATGATCTATAAAAATAAATTCAAGAATAAGAAAATTATTTATATCCTGCAATGAAACTTTAGCTTCCTAACATTAAGTGACAGATTTTATAACAATTAAAACTCACGTCCATGGCATTGTGAAGAAGATATGGAGAGGCACCCCAAGGGCTTCAGCAACATGTACATGTCCTGCAAACAGGGATAACAGGATACAATATATGTATTTTATTTGAAAAAAATAAACATGTGTAAGGTCCAGACAAATTTGCAAATGTAGAAGTGATAAACAAAAAAAAAAAATCTGCCAAAATGAAAATAACTTTTTTTTCTTAAAAAAAAAAAATTACAGAATTCAACAACTTTCTTATGGACTTGGTAAACAGATTCTAAAAAAATCCATTATTCTTCAGGCTTTGAATGTGAAAAGTCCCTGAATTTGACACTTCAATGTCAGTAGTTACTATTGTATTCCCACTGTTCCTTTTATATGTTTTTTTTTTTCTTTTTCCAGTACATAGTTAACACTTTCTGTTTATAAATGAGTGCTATTCACATAACAAGTATTTGAAAAAAAAAACTGATATAGCTTAATTTTTCTTATTTCTACTTTTTGGTTTATGATCCTGACAAATGCTTACGAGCATTTAAAACTAATTGCATGTATATGTGCAAAATGCCTATGACCAAGAATCAACCAAGTAGCCATGTCTGACTCAAACATCAGAATCAACCATTTTAATAGGTCTAGTAATATGACATTTCTATGTGAAGACCAAGAATATTGTTTAACTGTCACCCAGGTAGAAGAAGTTTGTTCTACTGAACAATCACAGAGAATAATCTCATGGAAAACGATAGAATCACCAAATGTCATACTTGCAGATAACATGTTATATAATTATCATGTTTTGATAAAAGAACTAAGGATAATTAAACCATAATACAAAAATAAATCATAAGAAAGATATGAAATGGAGAAATACACAATACACTAATCTCTCTAGTCCTAACCACTCACCATAAGCAGGAGGATTGGCAATAATAGCTTGAGCTCTAAAAGGAACACCAGATTCCATATCAGGTGCTGTGCATGCTGGAGGAAGGGAATCAATGATGGCCTTCAGCTGCTTTCTTTGCACAGATATTTCAGCCGGTCCAGAAGGGATTAAACCTTTATTCCTAGCCATGTCTATTATTTAAATGTCTCATTTAGTATATCAGCGTCTAATGAATAAGATTAACAATAAAATAAGATTAAAACAAAAATAAGAGAGATTGAGCCATGAGGAGAACACTGCCAAAGTTTGAAACATCATCGTCATTGCCTGAAAGAGATTTCGGTATTGTGGGATGCCTAAGCCTCACATTGAGTAGTATGGGTTGTTTGGTGAAATACTTAAGTGTTTGGTTCTCCTCTCTTAATAACTATTTTATGGATAGGTTCCCCAAGTGCTTGGTTGCTTATCATTGCCTGAGTAAGCTTCATATACAATGTAGAAATAAGCGAACGTTTTGCTTATGGTTAGCTTGGAGAATGAAATGAGAATATTTTTGACGATTTTTTAAGTACCTGAAAAGTTTGCTATTTCATATGAATGAGTACAAGAATTACTATATATCAATTAACTGTATTAAAAGAAGGCTTCAACAATTTTGATCCGAACTGTGACTTTTTGGGATTGAAATTTTTATAAGGGAATAGAAAGTATTAAAAGGGATCTCTTACATCCTGCCAATACACGAGGATCACCACCAAGAGGATAGAAATCTACACCAGCTGACTTTACAAATGTTTTGAAATTAGCATGAGTTGCCAGCCTAACATGATGACCGTACTCCTGCAAGGGAATATTAGTTGATGATCTGTGAAAAGAAGAATAAATGCAACAAAATTGACTGTTGGGACGTACAATACATCAACAGTAGTTAAAAACCACTATATTGCATACTTTCAGATAGATCAGCTAGGCAAATAATGTGACAGCACTCAGATAATTTGGAAAAACGAAGGGATTTTAAACTTAAAGTAAACTAAAACTACAGGAGAGCAGAATAATTTCTTTTCCTGCCCAAATATTAGAAATCTTATTTACAATTTCAATGACAATTTATAATCACCAATGCCAATATGATAAATTAGAAAGATGATAATATGTTAAATACAGTATAAAGCCTTTCAGAACAAAGCAAATAAAAGGAAATCTATATTGATCTGATTTCCATGAAAAGTAATGTGAAATTCTCATTTTTGGCTCGTACTGAAGATATTGTGGAGTTCTACACCATAAAATATGCAAGAAAGCAATAACAAAGTTTACAATGATTTACGGCAATTCTCATGTGATAATGTGCATCAAAATTAATTGAATGAAAATATCCAAACATGCCTGAAGTCTCTTTGCAATGGCCAGAAAAGGTTGTACGTCGCCTCTTGTTCCAACGACCAGTATGACAATTTGTAAACGTGGAACAGATTTTTTTGATTCTGAACCAAGACCTCCACTCACTGTTGACTCTTCAAAAGATTGGAGCTCTAACAATTCTGGAGCAACAAATGCACTCATTTCGAGATCAACTTCAACAGTCCCATCATTTTGTATTTTCACTAGGTTAGTAATCAGTTGCTGAGTAGCAAAACAAGAAAGTGTCATTAACATGCAAATAACTTGGAAACACTGACACATAAATGACTAATACAGACAACCATTTCAAGAACAAAGGTACAAAGGCATAGTGTAACCATATTTTTCAAATACCAACCATGTTTCAAGAAATCACAAGATATATCCAACACAGAAAAAATAATAAAACTGTTTTGAGATTTGCATTGCATCTTTCAAACAAGGTTGAACAGAACAATCAAAACAAATATTAATATCAGCTTATTGGGTCAAACTTAATCCAACCAGAATAAAAATAGGCAAACACAAGCTTGAAATTTAAGATCATCAACAAACAGTAATACTTGCAATACCTTTGCCCGCTCGGACAGCCTGTCCAATATTGTGTCCCGCTTACGAAATCCTCTCTTTTCTGTCATTGATCTAGAAATCATAATCCCTTCGTCAACTATAAGTGGGTTCCTTTCAGTTTCAACAGGGGCTGTGACGCAATGTTCCAAACCTTTGCAAACAGAATTGGACATAAAATTAATCATCCAACAGAAGCAAGTTCGAAACAGCAGTCAATGAGGACAAGAACAATAGCATTTGTGACCAAGGTAGGAGGTGAGCAAACAATTATTTTCAAAGGAAATAAAGCTATTGAGGTTGAAACTAATTTCAATGGAATTCGTTATTTTATATGTGAACCTGTGAAACTGATAGGAGCCCAGAATAACAAAACAGAGAAAAAAAAAAGCATTATTTTATTTCCTTATTGAAAATAATCAAACCAATGAGAAAGATCTCTCTTTCACATTAGAGTTTTTCCTTTCAATAACAAAGCTAACGCAGTTTCATTTGATACAAAAGAGAATGCTACCACTCCTTTCCATTACAAAGCTAATGCAGTTTTCATTTGATACAAAAGAAAATGCTACCACTCCTTTCCATTACAAAGCTAATGCAGTTTTCATTTGATACAAAAGAAAATGCTACCACTCCTTTCTAAGTTCTAACCCTCTCCTTACACCCTCTCTAACTAACTAACGGACTATTTACTGTGACTAACTTGTCACTGGCTATCTGTGCTTGGGAATCTCTAGTCTACAGAAACTAAAATACAATGGAAACTACATATTTCATAAGCATGAAAGTGCCAATCTGGATAAGGCCTTAAACAGAAGCCATGTAATTTAGACTAAAAAACCAACAACAACCGCATAAAAGCTTCTGAACAAGGGGTCCAATGAAGTAACATTTCTTTTTCTCCAAGACATTAATTTTGTAGAGCTAGGACATATTTATTATCTACATATGAATCTTCCCTTCTTCCTTCCCCACTCGAGAAGAAAAGGCAACTAAATTCACAAGATTTCATAGAATTATATGGTACTGGAGCTAGCTCCTCTTCAGTTGAATACCAAAGCAAAATAAACCCCATTCCCACATGCTCAAAAGGGGGTAAAAAATAGACCAAACAAAAATGCATTCATATGACAACAACAGAACCCAATAAAGCAATAACATACTTAACACGCTGAAGACACCTTCCGAATTAACACCGCACAACAGTCCTAAACCAATGCCTATTTCACAGTCATAACAATCAATTGCTTAACAGAAGAAACTGATTTAGAAAGAACTACAGAGCACAAACCGCTTCGTGATGAAGAAGAGACTTGCAACAACTCGTCGTCCTCAGAAGAAGTCACAGAAAACTTCTCATTCTCACCCTGAGACGTTATCTCCATTTGTTTGAGATCTTTCTTCTGCCGGCCATCAAAACTCCCTTCCAACACTTCCTGGGACAAACATTCAATCTCATTACTACCCATCATCAGAATCAGAGTTTCTCAATCCATTACTTGTTGCAAAAAGAAGGAGCAGCAGAAAGAAACGGTTCTTGGGAATCGGGTACTGAACAGATGAAATAAAGCACTGGTAGCCATGCTAAACACGTGGAAAGTGGGCCTTCAACGAGCGAAGGAGAAATTTAATAGTCGAAAGGTTTTGTAACGAAAAAACAGTTGGCAGCAGACCCACCAGTCATCAAAGCACAGAGAACGTTCGGTAAACCTAAAGTTCAAACCCTTTTCGAACCCAGTTCTTCCTTCCAGGCGTTAACTCAAGGTGTAGTTCACGTTCGTCACGAGGAGAAGCGCTTCACACAAAAACCCCAAACTAAGAGCTATTCGCAGCTGCAATGCTACCATGGTAATGAGAATACGACTTATAGTCAATTTAGATAAAAAGTTGTCTCATGTATAGTCAATTTAATTCAAAATTTTAATTAAATATTTTATTAATAATAAAATAAATAAATAAATAATAAAACTAAATATAATACTTTACTCCTTCAGTAGTGTCACACTTGCACCGCTTCTTGTAGTACAGAAATCAATTATGCTAAACGGTAGTTGGTTATGGACGCGATCTTTTATTTTTGGTGGTTTTTTTATTATCAGAAGCACAACAGAAGTTGGTTAACAAATAACAACCCAGTAGAATCAGTTAGGAGACAAAAGGACGACATTTTTATCATTTTTATTGCTTTATACAAGTCACCATAATTTAGTTTTTTAATGTCAATTTGGAGTAACTAAATTTAAATCAATTTTAATGTATTACTGCTTAAGGCAACCTCACTTTGGATTTTGTAATAATAGTAATGGAGAGGATTATTATATTTCATACTGCATTTCGAGATATTCATGTGTCACTCCATCTGAAGTAATCATAACTAATTTATATTTTATTTTGTAATTGTTTTTATATTTTATTTTATTTTCCTTCGACTTCCGGTCTCTGGGAGTTATTTTAAAGCTTAACAAAGTCAAGTAAATGTATTTTAACGTTTAATTTATATGTAAATTAGATTTAATATAAGTAAAGTGTTTATTATATGACCAAAGTGTCTACACTTTGTGCTCACACATTCCAGAAATGGGTCTATTTGTCCAGCATGGTTAAAATTTTTTGGACCATCAACAATGACATTATTGATTGTGATAAGACCAAAAAGATAAATTATATACTTTAAATTAAAACCTAAGATCAACACAAAACATAATCTCCAAAAATAAAATAAATGGTTAAGATTTTGTTTAAGCTTTGAATAAAAGAGAGAACAACTTTATTGATGCAAGAAGAAAATAAAACTACTTTATATTCGCGTGTGAGCTCAAAGTCTCTCACCATTTTAATTATTACTTTCCATTATGAACAATTCCTACAAATATTACAGTTATATGCATAAAAACAAGTCACTCATGTCATGGAAGATAAAATAAAGAATAAAAAAAAAAATACAAATATGATGGACATAATATTTTGCTTAAATCAAAAGATGAAAATTTTCTTATATTTTATGAATATAATAAAAGTTGGTAACTTATTTAGTAAATGTCCATTAAAAAGGCAAGCTAACTTATGTTTTTTTATTACTTATGTATTTTTATTTTTATTTTCATGATATTCTTTAAAGTCTATATTTAGAATCATATAGTATAATCGAATACATGGAAGCATGGAATATATGTCTTTTGAGTGTGGTAAATATTTTCGGTCACAAATAACTCCAACATAACTTCAATAAAAATGAAAATCTTGCTTGGAGAGTCAAATGAAATCTTATTTTTCAACACACTTCCAAACTTCAATAGACATACCAATTAGACCAACAACTTTATCTCTATTCCAAATTGGTATCTAAAATCAATAAAAGAAAATAAATTAATAAACTACTCTTAACCACTTTTAACTTCAATTTACATATGTTTTATCATCTTATGTACACGTTTTCCATCCTTTTATCAGTTATCTACAAGACATGATCTTTTCATTTCCTTAATGACTAAGGCCCTTGCCTGGTTTATTTTTACGAGGCACAGGTACACATGTTCTTCAAGTTCTTCCACTTGTTTCCTAAACCCTACATCACTTTTGTTAAGCTCCTTCACTACCTGCAAAGAGACTTTGTCCTGTTTCCTGTCCAAACAGAATTGCACCATTGCCCTGTTATACTCAATTTCATCATGAAGCCGAGCTACCAGTCTACTCATTGTGTCAAAGTCTCTATTCAGTATATAAGTCCCCTTGGCTGCTATGTCAAGCTGGTCATAAACTTTACTAAGAGACCCTTTTCTTGAAAGTTTATAGGCTCTAAGCTTCTTTTTAAGATGCTTAAATGGGAAGCTGAGAATTGCTGGCCCCAAGATTACTGCTGTCAGAGTATGTGTTGCTATAACCATGGCTGTGATTGCCACTAAGCCACAAGCTGTTGTGACACAAACCCAAGATGTCTTCATCAAATACTTTATAAGCTTAATTTTCCTTCCCACCCTTTTTCTCATTGACTTTAGATGACACAAAACTGATGAGTGTTTATCATTGATGAGCTTGAAGTCATGGTTTTTAAGGTTTGAAAGCGGGTTCTTTGAGTAGGTGAATGAGTTTAGCTCAAAGATGACTACTTCAAAATTTTCAGAAGAGTCGTCATCCTTAATGTCTAGAACTCTTTGAATGAACTGATAATCAGAGTGGACTTGGTTGATGGTTTTGAGAAGTTGACTGCAAATGTGTGAAGCTTCTGCACTAATTTCAAAGTAACTAAGCATAAGGTTTTTGAGTTTTGGTGTCTTTGAAAGACTTACTGAATCAACAAGGGAAGATATAGTTTCTTGGCAAGGTTCGAGGAGGACATCTGAAAAATTGATATGGTTGTAATTAATGGAAGGCTGGTTTGCAAGTAATTGAACTTTATTGTAGAAATATTCAACATAGGGTTTTGTCCTTAGTGCCCTATGGTACTCATCATTGAAGTTTATGCTTTTCGGGGCTTCTCTGCATTCCTTCACGCCTGTAGAAAATGTGAAATAAAGAAAATATGATTCTCACTGGCAAGTATCATGTTATAACTTAAAGGAAAGACGTGCCAAAACCTATACACATGGTATTGGAAATTAAGTACTCGATCAGCATACATACATATACGGTCAAGACTTGGAACTTGGCAGAATTAATGCTAGAATCAGAATGCTCGTGACGAGTGGTAAACAGAATAAATTTGATGCTTGACAAACAAGGACCGATCATTAAATTTACGTTCATAAATATAGGATTGCATGAAGAAAAAGGAAAATTTAAAAACATTAAATATCAAACTTTTGACCGGAGATATCTCACCTTTGGTCTTATAGGATTAAGTTTAAATCCTCTTTATTCTAATTTTTAATATAATATTACAAATCATCTATCACTCCATCCAAAATCGTGCTTTAATTCAGAAAAATTATTTGTTTTTAAACATTTATATGAGATAAATTGTTAAATGCACACCCCGTTTACTTTTCTCCACCATCGTTTTCTTTCAACTCTTGGAACCTGGGTGAACAACATTGGAGTTCATCTTCGTCAAGAGCTCATTACACACTCATTCTTGCATTATATTTCAATGGGTTTGAAGAAATAGTGAAGCCAAACGAAAAATTAAGGATGAAGGCGTAAGAACATACCTTGAGTTATCCAAGCTCTTAATTTTGGCGACATATCTTGGTTAAGAAAAACTTTGTAAGAAAGGCAAAAGCTGACAAAGTTAACTAATATGAATAAACATGGCTCTCTCAATCACTGTAGCGGGAAAAGCTTATATAATCTCAATATCCCTCATAATTGTAGCCCTAATTATATAACAAATAATGCGTTGGTTATATATATCTGTATCTATTGATCAGATTCCAAGGAGCAAGGTCGTCTATTGAAGCTGACACATGTTTAATAATTAATGTGCTTGCTTATAAAGCCTCTATCACTGTTGTTAATTTCAAGATTCAAGTTTAAGCTTTCTCTCGGATATTGGAATCCTCTAATCTCATCCACAAATACAGAGGTAATAATTTCTTTGGCAAGTTGTCTCCAAGCTTAAGGCTGAAATTGCTGGAGATATTCCTTTTTCTAATTATTTGCATCACGTTTTGTCCTCATTTAATACACCACTCTATCCTACAATATATCATGCCAGCTGATATTTCTTTCTAAGAAAGTGGATTAAATATTTTACATCAAGTTTTTTATGTGAATCAATTAGATGGGTCATAACATTTATCTATACAAGTGTGTATTTTATGCACAAAGAAGCATTTCTCAGTATATATATTATAAACACCCTATTAAATATTTCTAATAATTTTAAATAACAAATTATAGATGAGTTTTATATCTGAAAATTTTAACAGTATTTCTATTTTCATAGTCTTCATGCTTTTAGCACTTCTCACATTACAATTCATGTTAATGAATGCGCTTACATACAAATATGTGAGAGAAGGAAAGGTTAACTATTACATGGGAAGTTATAGCATTGCTACATGGGATTTATTATGCGTATAATACACGAGAACATAAAATAAAAACTATAAGTTGAATTTACCTGTTGATTGATGATGCATGGCCCATGTCCAGCTATTGGCAAATCTCAGCCTCATATTAACTTAATCACTGAACACAAGACTTTTCGAACCTTACAATCTGTTCATTGTCTTATTATTTTGCATGCACATTTAGCTTCAAGACGAAACAGACTCAAATATATATACTGTTGAGTATCACACATCATGTCAACACTTGTCATCGTTAACCACTGTATCTTCTTCAATCATTAGTTTATTCCTTAGTTTGAGTTTAAAATATCGCATAATCGATCTCATCCTGACTGTCGTTATTGTAGGCATATATGGACCCCTAGTCATGTTCTGCTGTTACGCCTTAACCAATTGAAAGAGACATATGCGTACAAAAATAAATTGAGTCACGGTTTGAGAAACCAACAACTTGCTTGATCAGGTATATATCAACTGAACATTCTCAAAGTGGAAAAGAAACAGAAACAATCTTAAATTGTGATCAGTAATAGAAGCCGCCACACATGAAATTTATCCTCTTAAATTTCTTATTATCTATAAGGGTTGATTTTAAAATGGGCAGGTACAATTAATCTGTCAATTTTCAACGTTAAGAGAAGAACAGAAAGATAATATGCATTACACGCGTAGGGTAGATGGGAGTTGGAGCCTCCACATATAGAAACCACGTAATGCCTCCAATCAGTAAATGGCATAAAAACGAGTGACGCATAAATTTAGAAGCAAACTTTCGGGGGTCTTGTGCACAAAGATACTCAACCACGTGTAGTTCCTAAATAAAATTCATGTACTTGGCTGCGTGCAAAGTTCAATTTCTGAGAAAGGGGTTTTAGGCTTATCTAATTCAATGCACTCGGATTATACATTCACTCATTTCCCTCATGCCAAACGTTTCCATGCACTAATATCCTCTCATAAAAAAATAGAAGTTACTTATACCTAATATGTGTTGTAACGGTGAGTGAATCTACCTCCCCACGTATTTGAGTCTTCATCAACCTAATTCACTTAACCACAACGGGTTCGAATAAGATATTGGTAGGTTGTTAATTTTAAATTTTAAAAATAATTATAATTGATGTTGTTTTATTTTTTTTATATTTTATGTTATTATTATAAATTAAACTCTCAGTCAAGTTTATTATCAATTATTTATCGTTTCACTGTATTCGCTGTATTGATAATTCAAGTATATTGATATTCCATATTTAATAGAAATGAGAGAGATGTATAATTCATAAGTGATAAACACCTATAATCTAATGCCTTAAGGTTTTAGATTAAAAGTAATGTCATATTATTTTATATAATTGACTTATACTTCTTATTATTAATACCCTATATCGTAATTAATGATTGACTCATAAATCTAAATTTTCCAATAATTTACTATTTTCAATAATTTATATCTTTATATTTTAATAAGTTATTTTTTAAAAAATTTCTTTTTTATTTTTAATTATGTTCGTCTTTATTTATTAAATAATTAAGTAATGTCTGAATTAATACTTCAAATACAAGTTTATAATCTAGATAATTGTATAAAACATTTTTATCAAGATAATATATGTAAAATAACTATTATAAAAATTTACTTCATATCAATAATTGAATAAAACATTATTCAATATTCTTAAATTTCAGGACGAAGTGAAACAAAAGTTTACATAAAAGCAACCCACACAGTACTTCATATAAACAAATTTACATACCTCCAATATTTGTTCACTAGAAACAGATCGTTTTTCTTTATTAAAATAGAAACCAAAATATATATTATTTTAAAAATTATTATTTAATCAAAATCCTTCTATTTTAGATTTGGTTGAGTTGAGTTCACGTAGTTTTTAATAAATGACTACGGAGTCAATCATAATCGTAAACTTAAATATTGTTTCAGTTTTTCTGAAAGGTTATATGTAAAAGTATAAATGAATAATTATATAAAGATATCGTAAATGATATTACTAAACTTGTACCAAATATTATATTATTTAATAATTTTAATAAAAAAATATTCTCAAATTCATAAAATTTGACATATCATAATACAATAATTTATATAATAATTTGGATACTCCATTTATATACTAATTATTACTTTTTTCTTCATAAAGATAAATATAAATTTTCTCTGTTTGTTATATAATTTCTTTGTTTTTAATAGATAATATTTTTATACATATTAAGATAAATATGTGAATTTTTTAATTTTTTATGTTAAGTATTAAATTAATATTTAATCATAATAATTAAATTATTTTAAAATTATTAAAAAGTGAAATATAAATAAAAATATTATAAAAATAAGTGTATTTATAAAAAAATACCATTAGAATAAGATTTGTAAAAATTCAGTATAAATAAAAATGATGCGATATATCAATTTCATTGAAATGTATTGATTCTAAATAATTTGGAGAAGATCTTATAATTTAAATTATACATGTTGTTTAAATTTTAAGATAAATATAATTATCATCATTCAATTTTTAATTTTGTTTTGTTTTTAAATAATAATTTAAAATTAAAATATATTTAATATTATTTTTAGTTTCTAATTAGTAATTGGAAAGGATTATATTTTTACAAATTTGGAAGATTGAATTTATTAAAACTTTTGGAATTAAAAACACAATGAAACTTAAAAAATATAATTTGTATTATTAAAAAATCAAATTCGTAACATAATTATTTTAAAAGAATAGTTAATATATATATATATATATATATATATATATATATATATATAAAAGTGTATGATTGAAATATAATATAAAATAAATTATATGACAGAAGTTAAATGCACACGTATTTTAAAAGAAAAATGAAAAATCATGAATGTTATTTAAAACTGACACTTGTTATGATAATAACATTATATAAATAAAACAGTAATAGTAAAAAACAGAAAACAAAAACAGCAGGCAACAAGACATTGGGGGTTTCTACTGTGCAGCTTCCACTCTCTAACTTCTTCACTTCCAAATCACAAATCCCAAAACCCGAAACCTAAACCCTAGGAGAGAGATACACAGACATTGAATGATTGATTCATGGCATCTTCTTCCAAGTTGATGGCGTCTTCGGATTCACGAAAATCGGAGTCCTCCTCTCCTTCTCCCACCCCTCAATTCACCACCGCCAACTTCATCCCCATCTCCAACGCTGCCATCACTACTGCTCCCAAAACCGTCGACGACGTGTGGCGGGAGATCGTGACCGGCGACCGCCGCGAATGTAAAGAGGAGGCTCCTGATGACGAGATGATGACTCTTGAGGACTTCCTCGCCAAGGCCGGTGCCGTTGACGACGACAATGACGACGTTGACTGCGATATCAAGATGCCAATGCCCCTCACTGAGAGGCTCGGCAGTGGCGTCTTCGCCTTCGACCCACTACCCGCCACGATGCCGTTTCACGACGGAGTGGAAGGTTCCGTCATAGGGTTCAGCAACGGCCTGGAGGTGGTTGAAGGTGGGAGAGGTAAGAGAGCGCGTCCTGTTTTGGAACAGTTGGATAAGGCTGCGCAACAGAGACAGAGGAGAATGATAAAAAACAGAGAATCTGCTGCTCGGTCTCGGGAACGCAAACAGGTATCTATAGTGATGTGGATATGATATCCATGTGTTTGTTTGTTGTATTTGACTTTTCTTTGTTTATTGTGATGTTAATTTGGCCATTCCAGGCTTACCAAGTGGAATTGGAGTCCTTGGCGGTGAAACTAGAGGAGGAAAACGACAAGCTCTTGAAAGAAAAGGTGCTTTGGTTTTCATGTGTTTTGTTGGAGTTTTGTCCTGAGGATAGTTTCAGTTTTCATTAGCCATGTTACTTTTTTGTTGCGAGTATTGCAGGAGACAATAAGTTTTACTGTATGTTCAAATTGAAAGTTGAAATCTTCCAGTGCTGACGTTTCGTTTTCGTTTGATTTGTCTGGTCATTGATTTTGTTTTTGGCCTGGCCTTGTTCCCTGACATGGTTTCATTACCTGCTGTTGGTGCTACTTAATTAATATTTGGGATTCTCATTGATGAGCTTTCAAGATGTCTTGTTTCCTTGGCATCTGGTTGTAGTAAATGTTCTGAAGCCATGGTTATTGTAGTTTGGGTGTCTTATTATTGAAATAAAAGTTGTTCTTCTAATTTCTTTAATGCTGTTACAATTTTTGATCCAATTGTAATCACTTTTACTCCCTCTTTTATATTGTAGACAAGTGTCTTATTCTGTTTTTGAGTTGATATGTTTAATACTAATAATAAATAAAATTTGGTTAACCTATTATCACCTTTTTGTTGGCATTGCACTTGATGCTTGCCTTGAATTCTTATATGGGATGGTTCTTTTTGTCATATTTTGGTAAATGGTTGTGGTTACCTTCATGTATGATTTTAACACCAATATATTTTCACAAAATGTCGTATTATTACCAGTACTATTTTGCATACTGACTGACTGTTATCATAAATGTGCGAACTTCACTGGTGTATAAACAGTAATAGTTACCATTACCCATTGTTGAAAATGCTTGTACTTTTTTTTTTGTAAGTGTGGAAATATCAATGTTTCCTTCATTGATTGTTTACTGAAATTAGTGTAATGTGGGCAATGACACCGCATATTTCCAGTTACACACATAGTACGCGGGAAGGGTGCAAGGGTGTCTGTGCATAATCTTTACGCTATAGTGTTGAGTCTGCCCTCTACTAAGCAGGAAAACCTTTGTTGGGAAGGGAAAATGTCTATTTCTGCCTCAGAATTCTGTCTCTATTTATATCTGAGCTGTGAACTTCTGATTTCTATTCTCTCAACACATGCTACGGTTCTTCTTTTCACTGCTAGCATGTTTACATTTGAAATGTTTTTTCAAGCATTTTGGGTTGCAAACAGCCTACATTTTGGACTGTATTTCCTCTGCCTTTCTAGCTTTAGTGTTTATTATGTATTTTTACCCTCTAATCTCTTACTGAACTTATTATTGTGCAGGCCGAGAGGAAAAAAGAGAGGTACAAGCAGGTACTGATTTTCTTCTAAGAAGTTAGTTAGCATTGGACCTTTTCGGTGAAAATGTTTGTGATGATAATTGGCATATTGCTTTGAAGAAATTCTTTCCCAATATTATGAAGGTTACATGTTGCTTGCTACTGATATTATATGTTATTAGTAAAACCAGTGTTGATACTGATTTTTTTTTTTTTTTTTATCAATAGTGCTCATACTGAATGATTTAAGAGAGATGCAAACAACTAGTTTGCCAAGTATGATGGTATTAGACCTAGCTGTGTTGTTTCATGGAACTTGTTAGCATTGGATTTTTAGCTAGCTCACGTCTACAATAAAGTGTGGATTTATAGAATAGATGTTCGCTATATTGGATTACGACTGACCCTGGCATTTCTGGGCAGCTAATGGAAGAAGTACTTCCTATAGCACAAAAACAAAGGCCACCGTGTATACTCCGAAGGGCTCGCTCCTTGCAGTGGTAGGTCAAAATTGCTAGTGGTGCAGCCGCAGGACAGTTCCTGAATTAACGACTTCAGTGGTGGCGAGTAATAACCCGAGCAAACTAATCATCATCTCCTAAATGATAGTTCTCAGCCCAATGGTTAGTCTCAACTGTGATCGTGGTTAATGGTATGAAGAGATAGATAGAAGGATTTGAGCCTGGAGGGGCCAAGGAAAATTTCGAATTGAACAAGAAACAGCATTTACATATTCTTAGATAAACGCAGAATATGGAGTTGGTTCATGTAGTTTAGATACGAAGAACATCCTGGTCTCTCCCCTGTGCCGAGTGCCAATGTGTAATAGTAGAGAGCAAAGGGGATTTGTAGAAAGAAGAGTATATATTGTAGTCATGTGCTCAGACAGGTATTTATTTGGAAAAAAAGTATATTGAAATTGTCTATGCGATCTGTCAAAGCATTATTGCAAGTTCTTCTATGCATGTGAAAGATAAGTCTGGAGATGCATGGGTATTTCAGTCTTAACTTAAGATCCTGGTCTTGTTGTAAAATACCACGGGCTTTTCCTTGATGCGGATAATTTATTGATTTTATTGTATCATATTTTAATTGTTTTGCTTTATCGCAGGTCTCTTCTAGAGAATCGATGTTAATAATAATGATTATATAAATCGAGAGAGTTTTTGAGAAGCGAGGGGCTCATGAGGAGAAAATATTTAGACTAAAGACAATAAATATGATGCTTCCTCTTTGTCGTTGCTATCTTTGTGGTATCGTTATCTGTATTTTGGACCACATGCTGAGATTAACAAATGAGAGCAAAGCTGCCACTTTAGAGAAAGACATCGACCCTTATGTTTTGACTGTCCCTACTTCCGTAGGATAAGGATTGTACCATTTTGAAGCAATAACACTACTCACCAAGTGTCAATGTTCAGAATTAATCTCGTGGTAAAAGTTTGGAACGAGTTCAGAGCTCTAACAGTAAAAGGATAAATTCATAAATGAAGGACACCTATCAGTTTGTTAAAAGGAAACTGAATCATGCGGTTGATCGTTGTTGGTATTGTCTCTCTCTTCTATCACATTAATAACCTGTTACATTTTTCATTTTTCACTATTCTTTTTCATCTTCTGTCGATGCGTAAATGAGTATCCACGGCCATCTTTAAGATTAAAAAGACCGAAACAAGGAAATGCATAGATTATTATCTAATGTTCTACGCTATGCCAGCTTCGTTAATTGATGCAGCTAGAATAGTATTTTAACTCTATCATATGATTAAATCTTATGAACTAAAGATAATTGATCAAAAGAACAATAATTCCATATCATTTAATCAAATATGCTGAAAATATTATAAAACTGAAAAGGTCCCCTAACAAAAATGACATGAAAAAAAAAAAAAAATCAACGATGAAGTGTTTAGTATAAGATGAACGTAGACAGGGAAAGAAAAACACATTATATCACTTTACGAGCCCAATATATTCTTGGCATAAATTTAATATCGTATATTATTGCTATTTCATTCTCCAAGTAATTGTGGCGTGCAGGTTTTTGTTTGGTCGTGACTTATTTGATTGAGATGATATCACACGTGTGGGCAAAAAGTATTATGGATATATGAAAGATAGTAAGAGAAGAATTATATTATATTATATTATATTAATGTAATGCAACGAAGTTAAACATGACCTCCACCCCTCCAAAATAAATAAAGATAAAATCTCCAAAAAATAGTTTACATACCGAAAAAGAACCAAACTTGTGTACAAAATAAAAATGCCTGGCCCTTTTACTATCAACGTGTTCTTTTTTCTCTCTTACGAATCATATTAAATGAAATTTGTCAGCATACAAGGAGGAGAAAAAAATAGGATAGGTTGAAAATTTATTCCCGCTTGCATCAAAGTGTGAGCAAGATTGCATTGTACCAAGTAGGGAGCAAAACTCGTTCAAAATAAAAGGGGTAAAGGAGAAAGGCAATTTTTATTTCTCACCACCCAAGAAGAAAGGTTTTTTATTTGAAAAATGAAATCACCATTCACTATATTATTGGCTGCAGGTTATAATCACATCACTAATCATTTTAGAATTATAATCCCCATCATCATACTTCAGTGCCCCAAAAATTTTCTTGTGATTGTGTTCCTGCCCATTTTTTCAACCTCTTTTATCACAATTTGAGGCTAGATTTTTTAGAAACAAAATCACACAACCTTTTCCTATGTAAAATAATAATATTAGCACACCCTCCCCAACACCCATGTCTGGCACCCATTCAAACTCTTCCTTATCATAAAGCCAAACACACCTGACAATCCTTCCCCACACACACACACACACACACTCTCTCTCTTCCCACACCTAACACAGTTTTCAAAATCCTTTTTCTTTTGCCATTCCATTATTTCCAGAGAGCCGGGCCAGACATAAATACAGCACAAAACCAACAAACCCTCCTCTAATTCACCCTTTTCTCTTCAGTTTCCCTTCAAAATCAAGCCACATTCATTCATCACAATGCACTTCCCCATTCTCTTCCTCCTTCTTCTACCTTCACTCTTCAGGCTTTCACATTCAGCCACAATTCTAGTAGACGGATCTTCAGAGTGGAAGAACCCCACAGTTTCCATCGGTGACTCCATCAGTAAGTACCAGCACCCAGATTTGGAATCTTCATAGACAACGTATAACAATTTATAGCACTGCCATCTAACAATACTCTACCTCTCCTCTGTCTCAGTTTTCAAGCACAAACAACACTTCGACCTCTACATTTTCAAGAACGAGAAAGCCTTCAACCTCTGCAATATCACTCAAGCCACTCTTCTCACCAACCCCTACACGGTAAGGCCCTTAAAGCTCATTATTTTACCTTCAGCAGTCTTAAATTTTCCAATTTTCTTAACTAAGTTAATGTTTTCAGTGGCATCCATCTCGGCCCGGTTTCTTTTACTTTAGCTTTCACAATGGGTCACTCAAGACATGCAAAGACTCTGAAAAGCTAGCCATAGAGGTTACTTCTTCAGCAATGGTTCCAGAACCTTCTCCCGTGGCAACACCAGCTCCTTCCTCGGGTGGAGAGGTACCATCTTCACCTTCATTTCCATGGCCTTTTCGCCCACACCAAACAGCTTCTTCACCTGGTCCAGCACCACAAGCACAAGTAGGTTCACCAGTGACAGTTCCATTAGTGCCAGATAAAGGTGGTGGCATGCCCTTTATTAACAGCAACCCTGCAGTTCCTCTGCCTACCGGTGAAGTTGACTCTGCTACCATACGCCCCTTACCCACCTCTGGCCATCAAGGACAGGTGCCCATACCATACCTCTCTCTCTCTCTCTCTACAAAAGCATGCACTCATTTAATATGTAGTGGTTCTGTTTTTGTCAAGTCTCTGCCATGCACTTTTCCTCAGATTGCATAAACCATAAATGTTTCCCCTCAGCAATTTCCACCCCAATGTCTAGTTTTTTTGGAGTGTCTCCAACCGCAGTAAGACTGCAATGGTAGCAACAATGATTATATTATCTGCAATTTCTCCAATATCATGACACATGAAGAAGTTTCAACCGCGAACATAATTTAAAATTTACCTTTGAGGTTTTAAATTACTATTGTAGTCATAATTTTATTACAAACATGTAATTCTTGACATTACTGAAAATTATCGTGTTGAGGTAACTATTTAGTCATAGTGTTTTGCGAGGATAAAAAAGAAATCATTGATAGTGTGACTGAAATTGTTGTGATCAACTTTCTTTAAAACCTTTGTTATTTCTCAATTGGAGTTAGTTCACCTAAATGTTTGCATGTGCGTTTTAGTGGTAAGTGCCTTATGTGATTTATTTGCTAGAACGAAACATGCACATGAACCATAAATGTTGTGTTATGGTATAAGTGATGTTAATGCACCAAAATGTGGGTACCTAATTTGCTACAAAACTGCACATAAATCATAAATGTTATGCTGTCTTTTAATTGATGTAAGTGCTTCTAAATGTGTATCTATGTGTGTACCTAAATGTGGTTTATTAGCTACAAAAGTGCAGATAAGTCATAAATGTATATGTTGTCTTTCAATTGATGTTATTGCACCAAAATATGTATATCTATGTGCGTACCTAAACGTGGTGTGTTAGCTACAAAAGTGCACACAAATCATGAATGTTTGTTGTCTTTTAATTGAAGTTAGTGCACCTAAAGTTCGTATCTATGGGAGTACCTAAATGTGTTATATCAGCTAGAAGCATGCACATAAATCATAAATGTTATGGTGCACCTAAATTTGTGTGTATATGTTACCAAATGTGGTTTATTATTCAGAAACGTGCACATAAATCATAAATGTGTGTATTTGACGTGAGAAGTGGGGTTTGATGCGTTACTGATTAGAAGTTGGATTGTGTTGTTGTGGTTGTGGGTGAGTGCAGGTGATGATTGGGTCATTTGGATTACACATTGCAGTGCACACCTTGGCTTTGCTAATGCTGTGAGGATGAAGAGAAAGAGAACGGGAAACCAATGGGGTAGCACCATGGAGTGTGGATGGGGTCTAAAGTAGCTTTAAGAGTGATGATTATACCATGTATTAAGATGCTCTTACATTCTACTTTGGAATGGTTGCCACTTTTTGTTCCTTGGTTTAAGAAAACAATCGATTACTGCAATTGCTTTTTTCTTTTCCCCTCTAATTCCCCCTTGCTTTTCATGGTGATGGTACAAAATGGGGTCCCTCACATCACTGCATCAAACATCGCACCCTCATGGTGGGGAAACTCTGATGTCATACCCCTTCCTAAAGCATAACTCACAGATCAATATCCCACCTATTTATATATAAAATTGGGACAGTGGGGTATTCATGCAAGGAGTTTTCAAATGTCCTAATTACCTTTTTTGTTTTTATCTTATTATTATTTTTTATTTTGTTCAATTTAATTCTTTTATTAATAAAAGATTATTGAGTCTCTCAAATTTAATTGTACAATAATTTAATTTTTGCAAGTTTCAACCAAGTCTGTAAATTTTTAAATATGATTGCATTTTATTCTTAACTTAACGATCTTATTTGATATTTGGACACAAAGTGATCACATTCCCTAGGAGAAATATAATTCAACATTTTATTAGTAACGAGAACAAATTGAATAAAATAAACAAATAATTGAACTAAAAATGTAATTATGTTGTTTCTAAAACTATGAAATGTGAAATTGTTGAAACTAGGAGAGGTGCGGATAGATTTATATATATATATATATATATATATATATATATAAGGAAAGTACAAGAATTTTTTTAATTATTATTATATTGTTTTTATAAAAAAATAAAATATTTTATAACAAAATATATTACTGGAATAAATAATTTTAAAAATAAATTGAAATTTCAGAAATTTCTAATAATAATTTGATTCTTTAAAATTAAATCATTTAAACTTTTATTTAAAAAATAAAGAATTTAAAAATTTCGTATATTTTTTCTTATCAAATTTACTTATTTTATCTTTTTACTCTCTTATAGTTTAATCTTAATCGAGACATGTTATGTCATTTTCGGTTCGCTTGAATTGTTGATTTTTCCGAGATTTATTGGTCTAACTCGATTTGACCTCACTCAACCAAACCCAATCCATATTGATGTACTTGGGTCAACATGACCCAAACAACTGGTTTACCTTCATCACCTTGACTAGGTCCGTCCTACCAAGCTCCATCAAGGCCCACATCAGCTCTTGACTCATGATGTAGGATAAAATTCTATGAGGTGTGACATTTAATTTGTATTTGGTTATAGTTGAAATATTTTATTTGAATGAAAGAATAAAATTTAATAAATTTAAATTATTTCATCGAAATAAAATATTTAAAAATTAAATAATTTAAAATTAAAATAATTTAAATTATTATATTTTACTTCTCTTAAAATTGTATTTTTTTCATCCAAATAAAAGCATAAAATTATAAAAAAAATATACAATTTTTTAATTGTTATGTTTTTTCACCATTAATTTTACTTTAATAATTTGATTCATAGGCACTCCTATTCTGTGGGATATTTCTTTTCCACGCTCTATAAATATAAATATATTCGTTCGCTACCTTTGATTTTGAAATGGATATTTCTGAACGTAAATTTTACAAATTTGAGAGCATAATCACAATTCCTGAGACATATATAACAACATCACTGTTTATAAACCCAAAAACAGTTCCATTGTCCAAAAATCATGATACAGGCCCTGCAAAATGTTGGACCAAACAAGGTTAGCCTGCAAGCCTCGCACTTTTTTTTTTTTTTTTTTTATCAATTAGAATATTTTAAAAATTTTACAAAAATGGAAAAATATTGAGGATGATTTCAGTAGTTTTTTTTTCTTTTAAGAAACAAACAAATTTTTTTTTCTGTTGGTACCATTTAATAATTATAAAAAATCGAAGTTCAAATATTTTTGTAATCATGTCAATGACTGATTACTTCCCTTTCTTTTATCACCTCACTCTACTATTTCAAAATATATTCCTTAAAAGTGAAAAAAAAAAACTCTATAATCTATCATAGAATCTCATATATCAATTATATCGAACAAAAATTATGAAAATATGTTTTATTATATTAAATTCATGAATTAATAAAATGAATTACTAGTTTAAATATTTACTATTATTATTATTAAACAAAATTTATGTTTTAAGCATATAAAATATATATCATTCAAAACATTTAAAAAACCTAGGTCAAATTACGTGACGTATGCCTTATTTTAATATTATATTAATATTATCGTGCAAGAAAACTTCGTAACGAAGTTTTGCTCATGCACGATAAAATTTTTCTTATATGTGAATACAGAAGCGGGGAGGAGGAGAATCAAAATTTTCCTCTCATCCTTCTTCTTCTATTGTCTAAATTTCAAGCAACGAGACTCTACTCGTGCGGGATGCTAGTGAAACGGGAGAGAACCTGAATTAAGTGGGAAAGCTTCGGTAGAAATACCATACCAAGTAAGGGGAAGTTTAATTCATTCAATATATGAAATTGAATTGTTGGGTACTCTGTGAATAAGGAATAGGAGTAGAGATATGAATTATTTGAACGTGTGATTTTGAAGAATGTCTGAATTTCTGATGAACTGTTCACGGTTTAAAAGTTTTAGAAATTCTTGAAATTAAGGATGAATTATATAATAAAAGTGTTGTTTTTAACTTAAATTGAACATGTTTATGGTTTAATTTTGATTGGGAACTAATTTGGGTGATTGAAACTGAGAAATTTGAAATCTGGAATTCGAAAATGGCAAACTGGAAAACCTGCAAAATTCGCTCAAGCGAAAATACGTCGCTTGAGCGAGGATACCTGGAAAATTTGGGATTCTCGGGTTCTTTCTCGCTCAAGCGACCGATGTACTCGCTTGAGCGACGAAAGCTTCAAACAAATGTGACCCTCGGGTCATGTCTCGCTCAAGCGACCGATGTACTCGCTTGAGCGACGAAAGCTTCAAACAAAGGTGACCCTGGGGTCATGTCTCGCTCAAGCGACCGGTGTACTCGCTTGAGCGATGAAAGTCTTCAAACAAAGGTGACCCTCGGGTCATGTCTCGCTCAAGCGACTGGTGTACTCGCTTGAGCGACGAAGCCTTCAAACACAGGGGACTCTCGGGTCATGTCTCGCTCAAGCGACGGGTGTACTCGCTTGAGCGACGAAGCCTCAATCAAAGGGGACTCTCGGGTCATGTCTCGCTCAAGCGACCTGTGTACTCGCTTGAGCGACGAAGCCTTCAAACAAAGGGGACTCTCGGGTTCCATATCGCTCAAGCGACCGGTGTACTCGCTTGAGCGAGAGAAGGAAGAAGAAAGGGATATGGTGGGGATTTTTTAAAAGATCAAGGGCAAAATAGTAATTTAATGATTTCGGAAATGATTTTAGGATATATATATATATATATATATATATATATATATATATATATATATATATATATATATAAGAGAGAGAGAATGAAAGTAGAGTGTTGTGACGTGTGTGGGTCGGGCGAGCTTGAGGGCGATGCCCGAAATCGATCCTGAGACGTTATATATTGGCTAGGCGAGCCGGAAGGTTGGTACCGAGAATCGGTCAAATACTATTTTATTGACTCGAATGAGCCGTGAGGACAGGTGGTCAGAATCCGGCAAATGTGAATAAATTTTGTATGTTTGAATGGTACCGGGGTGGTACGAGTACATTAGTGTAATAACTATGTCGGAGGATTACGAATGAGGTCCCGAGACTTCAGCGATTGGTCGGGTCGGGTAGACTACGAGATCGGGTGGTGAGAAGTCGATGGGGGGATGGCCGGTGGCGCGCTCGGAGGGGTACTCCGGTATGAGTGATGAAGGGCGCCGGTAATCCTACTCTATGTGGAGGGTGGTCGAGAATGGTGCTGCGGGTGCCGATCACTGATGTGCCCATAGATGATAGCCTCCGAGTTCGGGCATAGTTAGGGTATACTTCGGAATGTGTCTTAGTGTGTTGATAATTTCGTAATTGATCATAATATATAATTCTATATCTATTTTATTATATCGAATGATTTAATACTTACCCCTATTTTTCCATGTGGATGGGACTTGCGATGATCACTTTTATGTGAGAGCGAGATCGGGAGTTGAGAGATGGTGATGTGACTACTTGGACGGCGAGAGATAGTTCGGTGGGATAGCTTCGAGGAACTACTTGTTACATGTATAATGTATAAATAAATGATGTTACTATATTTTGAAGTTACGTTAGTAAGCTGGAATTTCAATATATGTTACAATTACGATAATATAATGTAAAATCAATGTTGTTATTTACTTGTTTACTACTTTGCGAAGACATCATTATAGTAGCGATTTCTAGGGTCGTTACAATAGTGGTATCGGAGCGGTAGTATCCTTGTAAATACGTGGGGATGGGTAGTGAACCTATGATAAGTCAGTTGTGATTATACTACGATTGTGAGTGCGTGAATGTTTGCTTTGTATTAATGGTTGCGTTTGATATAGGATGGCACCGCGACCTCCTACTCCTACTCCACTCAGAGTGTAGATGCCCTAGCCAGGGCAATGGAAATGTTGGCGGCTGCCATGCGGCAACGAGCTACCTACCCACGGTGGAGGCTAACTATGGCATCATCCTCTGCTGGACATCACCAATCGGAGCGAGATGGGGCTGGCTGAGTTCATGAGGCATAATCCGCCTCGTTTTGGAGGAGATTTGGGTCCGGATGCGCGAGAGAAGTGGGCTGCGTGAAGTGGAGAAGATTTTTGAGGCTACCTTATGCCGGAAGACGGGAAATTGACATTTGGGAAATACTTACTAGTTGATGAGGCTGAGTTACGGTGGTCGGGGACTCGAAAGGATGATGATTGCACGTGGGGAGGTGTGTAATTGGGAAACTTTCCGTGAGAGATTTACGGAGAAATACTTCCCTGACAGTGTTAGATTTCGGAAGGAGGCGAGTTCT